TGTTGGCTCACTGGCACGAAGTGTCCTACGTGGCCAGGTGGCCGCCCCAGCCCACAGCCCGATGAGACCGGCACTGCGTCCTCTGGACGGGGCTCTCTTCCCCCTGAACTGAGCTTTTTCTAGAACCAGAAGTTGTGGGAACAGACAGCAGAGGTTCAGCTCGCGGATCAGGAGAAGGAACAGTGAGAGGAGCCACCCCATTCCGACCCCTTGATTCCCGGGTCCACGAATCCCAGCTGTGCAGAAGGAGCGCCATAAACCGGCTGCTGACTGAGAGCATATGCTGTATCCTGGAAGACACTGCCCAGCCCTGCAAGGTGCGGCCATCTAGCGGGCGCTGCGATCAAGTCTGCAAAAGGCCGTCAAGCACACCTATCAGAACGACCGAAATCCAGAACGCTAACACCCAAGGCTGGCGAGGATGTGAAGGAGCAGGAACTCTTCATCCACTGCTGGCGGGAGCACGAAATGGGGCAGCCGCTTTGGAAGACAGTTTGGTGGTTCCTCACAAAACTCTTGTAATACGATCCACAACCACACTCGTTGGTATTTATCCAAAGAAGTAGAAAACTCATGTCCACACACAAAAACCTGCACATGGATGTTTATGGCAGCTCTACTCATAATCGCCCAAACTCAGAAGCAACCAAGATGCCCTTCGGTAGGTGATTAATAAATAAACTGTGGATCATCCAGACTGCAGATATTATTCAGGACTAAGAAGAAATGAGCTCTCAGGCCATGAGAAGACAGAGAGGAACCTCAAATGCATATCACTCAGTGAAAGAAGCCTATCAGAAAAGGCTACACACTGCATGATGCCAACTATGTAACATTCCGGAAAAAGCAAAATTATGCAAACACAAAGATCAGTGGCTTCCAGGGGGCAAGGGAGGGAGGGATGAGTAGGCAGAGCACAAACGATTTTTAAGGAAAATACTCAGTATGATATCCAACATATATGTCCTATACGTGTTTTGTTAAATTTGTACCTAAGCATATTTTTGAGTGACTGTAAATGGTATTGTATTTTAACCACAATGTGCACAAGTTCGTTGCTAGCGTATAGGCTACGGTGATATTTGAACACTGTTCTATTCTGTGACCTTGGTGAAGTCCGTTGGTAGCTTTTTTATAGATTCCATAGGCTTTTCCACACAGATTGTCATGTTGTCTGCAAGGAAAGACAGCTACGCTTCTTCTCTCTCAGTCTGGATGCCTTCTCTTCTGCTTGCTTTCTTGCGCCGAGTAGAGCCTCCAGTACAATGCTGAATTCAAGTAGTGATGGTGGAGGTCTTTGCCTGTTTCCTAACCTAGGGGAAAACAGTCTCATACTGGTAATTATGATGCTGGCTGTAGTGATTTCATAGATGCCCTGTATCAGGTTGAGGAAGTTCCCTTCCATTCACAGCTTGCAGAGTTTTTATCAGAAATGGATGTTAGAGTTGGTGAACGCTTTTTTTTTTTCCTTTTTGGCCTGTTAATACAGTAAATGATGTTGGTTGATTTTCAAATGTAAACAACCCTTGTGTCACTGGAATAAGATCTACTTGGTCATGACCTATTATTCCTTTTTTCAGAAATCTTGTTGGATTCAATTTGCAAAGATTCTATCAAGAATTTTTGCAGGTATTGCTCTGTGGTTTTATATTCCTGTTAATATCTTTATGCGATTTTGATATCAAGTTACGCTGGTTTGACAGAATACATGTTTGTATAACGGTTTCACATTCGACACTTACCCTCATGACACACGGCTCACACAGATGGTGTGCTTTTTGTTCTCAATTGTGGGTCCAGGGTCACTAAACTGACCTTATGACCCACCATGGGTCTTCCCCTAGATGATGACCATGTGTGCCGTGCTGCCCTCCTGTCCTTGAAGGGGGCTAGTCCTTCATTCAGGGTCCCTCTGATATTTTATTTTCTTGCATGTTTGGGGTGGAGGCCTGCTACTCGCTCCCAAGAGCCATGGCTGGAGCCTTCCTCACTCCCTGCACACTAGGCTCGTCCTGAATTCTCAGTCAGGTTCTCAGCTCTGCCGGCTGCCTCCTGAGGGGTAGGCGGAACCACTGGGAGCTACACTGACTTTAAAAGAAAAGCATGTTTGGTATTCTGTTCACATTTTATTTAGAATGCAAGCTCCAGTAAAGTCAGACCATTCTCGCATTTTACGTCTAAACAAAAGAAGGCTTGAAAACTGCTATCTGCAAGAACTCCACCCAAATAAGAAACAAAAAGACACTGTAGGTGCCAATGGTCTTTATTTCCAAAGAGTGAAAAGCCATATTGGACATAACCTTGATTTTATTTTCTCTTTTAACCATTGTAAATTTCACGGTACTCTGTGATTTTGCTATTCAAGTTGGGGTCCTTTGACCAGCTGCATTTGCATCAGATGGGGGCTCCCTAGAAAGGTGGGTTCCAGGCCCCCCTAGGCCTGACCTAGAATCTGCTTTTTAACAAGATCTGGCAGTTCTGTGCACACTGCGGTCCGTGTCGGTGCCGTGCTTGGACTCTACTCAAAGATTTTATCCGTGTCATTCCATGCATTTAATGGCTTGATCATTTCACTTAAGATTATGTATTTCAATCACCTACAGCTGATTTCTAATCTGGTGTGGAAATCAGCGCTCTAACTTGTTTTTTTCTATTCGGATTAATCCGCTGTCCTCATACGTTTTACTGAGGACTCCGCCACTTCCCTCCGTTTTAAGTGGGAGAAAAGAAAAGCGTGTTAAAACCGCGTGCAGGGTCTGATCTCGCACTTGTTCCGAGAAAGGACGCGGTAAGGGAGCGCTGCACGCTCGGGGGGCACGGCTGCTGTCTGTTCTGGGACGCACCGGTCCGAGAAAGAGTGTGACCAGGCTGCACAGCCCCAAGTCACACAGGTACGTGGGGTAAGGTATCTCACCTGTGAACTGCTAGGGCGCACGCGCCCGCCGGCCCCGCCCCCGACCTGCGCGCGCAGCCTGCCGCCCCGCCCCCCAACATACACACCTGCGCGCGCAGCTCCCGTGGCGGGGCGGGGCGGGGCGGTGGCCAGGCGGTTGG